TCAGTTCACCAACAGAGTCACGATGGTGGTGAGCGGCACGGAAGTAGCAAAGAACAACACCAAGGACTCGTGCTGGGTCGTCATCCATGGCCAGGTATGGGACGTCACAGGTAAATCTTCCGCTCTCATCACTAAGCTCCCTTGCTAAGATAACGTAGAGTTCCTCGATGAGCACCCCGGCGGTGCCAAGCTGATATTCAACTGCGCCGGTCGTGACGCAACAGAAGACTACGATTCCATCCACAACCCGGACCTCATCGCAGAAACGCTGTCACCAGACCGCTGTCTGGGACCCGTAGACCCTCTGACCCTCCCCAAGGAATCATCAGCCCCGGAGCCAGAGAAGCCGAAGCCAAAGTTTCCACACCTGGGCGCCATCATCAACGCAGACGACTTTGAGAAGGTGGCCGAAAAGTACCTGTCCGAGATCGGATGGGCGTATTACTGCTCTGGTGCGGAAGACGAGCAGAGTCTCCGGGACTCGAGACGCATCTTCCGCAGGTTGGCGCTGCGGCCGCGGGTGCTTCGCAATGTAGACTCTATCAACACGGCCACGTCGATCCTTGGTCTCCCTTCGTCCTTGCCATTCTACATCTCGCCAACGGGCCAGGCTAAGTATGCTCACCCCGAGGCCGAGACCCTTCTGGTGAAAGCAGCGGCGAAGGAGGGCATCATATACTGCATGCCGACGAAACCAAGCGCGTCGATAGACGCCATCTTCGGTGCGCGGGCGGAGGGCGACGCACAGCCGCTGTTCTTCCAGCTATACGTCGACCGCAACAGAGAAAAGGCGCAAGCGACCATCCGAAAGGCGGAGAGCCTCGGTGCGAAGGCCATCTTCGTGACGGTGGATTCGCCCGTCATTGGTAAGAGGGAGCGGGATGAGAGGTTGACGGCCGGTGATGAGCCATTGTCCGAACCCAGCGGCGTCGCAAAGACGACGGCATCGGGTTTGTTGAACGCGGGGCTGACCTGGACTGATCTCGAATGGATCCGGGAGACGACTTCGCTGCCGATCGTGATCAAGGGCATCCAGTCGGTTGAGGACGCTCTCATTGCGCACCAGCACGGAGTCGATGGGATCGTGCTCTCGAACCACGGCGGGCGAAGCCAGGACACCGCCCAAGCGCCGATGTTGACGCTTCTGGAGATCAGGCGCTACGCACCGCATCTGCTCGCCCCTGAGACGAAGGCAAAGTTCCAGGTGTTTGTGGATGGTGGGATCAGGCGGGGGACGGATGTGCTCAAGGCGTTGGCGTTGGGCGCGAGTGCCGTCGGCATTGGCCGGCCGTTTTTGTACTCGATGACGGCCGGGTATGGAGAAGCTGGTGTGCGGAGATTGATACAGATTTTGAGGCATGAGCTGGAGACGAATATGGCGTTGGCGGGTGCAGCCAGCATCGAGGATATCGTCCCTGAGCTGGTCAATAGCGAAAGGGCGGAGAAGGAGGTTACCGGGAGGGTGAAGCTTTAGATTTACGATAGTGTTTAGGAGTAAGTAAAAATATTAGAGAAGCTTTCTAATTCTACCTTGTTTTATCAACTGGAAATGTTAGGCTTCGTTGTAAGATCCTAAATCTCTAATGACCCCTCGCGGCCTACTTATTGACACTAGTGCTAGGGTTAGTTATTCTGTGAACCAAACACAACCCCATCCTTTGAATTCTCATATGAAGAAAGCTTTTGAATATAACACATTGTATTCAATCTACGACTTCCGTCCATTAAAATCTCGTAGATGTCCCGATGCCACCTCCTGGCCCATAATCTAATTTCCAGCTCAACCTAGATAAGATATCTAAACCCAGTAGAAACCTGCGCCGCAGTAGGCCCATGCTTGCCACAGTCCTCGCCCCGGTCCAACTTCGCATTCAGCCTCCTCAGCCAGATCCGCGTAACAGTAGCAAACCCAATCGCCAGCCCCGTCGCTGCGATATTCACAATGAACGCGGTGATGTACCGCGGTGCGCCGTAGTACAGATAGCTACCCCAGATATTAGGCGTGTTACACATAGCATTAATCAGCGCGATAGCGCTAGCCCTCTTGACGCTCGGCTGCGCAAGACTACCCGTGATCCAGGACAGGATGACGACGGCGGCGGCGTAGAAGGAGCCCGGGAGCAGCATCATGGCGACGTAGCGCGCGGCGATGTTGATAGTCGAGACGGCGATGACGTTGGCGACGAGGGTGATGCAGAGCGGGATAACGATGTGGAGGTAGCGCTCCTGCTTGCGGTCGGAATGGAAGCCGTTGAGGAGCATGGTAAATACGCAGAGGATGAAGGGGGGTGCGGTAAGGGCGTATGTCATTGTGCGGGAGAAGCCGAGGCCGCCGACGACGGAGGGGAAGAAGTTTGCGACGGCGCCGACGATGTAGGTCTGTGGTTGGTGTTGGTGGTTAGTTAACATGCCTACCGGGAGACGGTTTGGAGAAGGATGTCAAAGGAAGTACATACGGAGTAGAGGATTCCCATTAGCATCCAGGTCTTGGGGTCCGCGACAGCCATCATGAAGCCCTTGAAGGCGGTCACCTCGCTTGCGTTGTCCTCTTGGCCTTGATCGGCTGCGAAGTTGTACTGGACCCATTCGCACTCGAGTTGGGTGAGCGTCGGGATCTTCTTGTTGGAGTTGGGGAGAATCATGGCGAAGGGGATGGCCAGTCCAACGGTGATGACACCCTCGACCAGGAAGAGCTGGCATGGTATTAGCCTCAACTCGAACATCACCAACAGAAGGAACTCACCCATCGCCACCCAGAAAGGCCACTGGTTCCATCCAAATTCAAAATCGCAATGGCAAACAGCCCACCAAAGGCGTTGCCTAACTGCGACCCAGAGTAGAGAATTGCCGTCCGCAAGGCGAACTGCTTACGGTTATAGAAAAGGGAAAGGTAATAAAGGGCACCCGGAAAGAAGACTGCCTCGATAAATCCGAGGAAGAATCGAGCCATCAGAAGACCTTCGTAGTTGTGAACAACGGCCATGAGCGACGAAATCGCGCCCCACGCTGCCATGGCAGCGCAGATATACGCCCCGGGCCACTTGATCTTGCTCACAATCATGTTGGAGGGGATCTGCATCAAAACTGCGACCATCGTCAGTCGAAAGCACACAGGAACAGCCAATAAGGAGGACGTACTGTAGCCGACGAAGAGGATGCTGACTGTGGTTTGATACTCGACCTGGCTGAGGTTGAGTTCCGTGGTAATGTTGGCGAGCTTGGCGCTGGCAATGTTTTGACGGTCGAGGTAGTTGACTTCACGTGTGTCAGGTCCGAGACTTGGATCGGAAGACGAAAGGCGGTGGTTACTTACGGACATACATGATGACCTGATCCCATGTTAGCCCCCGTAGATGGAGTGCGTTGAAAGAATGACTTACCATGATGGGCATGATGACCATGTCCATCTTCAACGTGGCCTTCTTTCCAACCTTTTCGTAATCCTCCTGGCTCAAAGCTGCCAGACTGGCGGGCATGATGAGCGTCCCATCGTGGACGCTGAGCTTCTCCGCGTTGACATCTTCAACCTGGTCCGAGGATCTCTCTTTCTTTTCCATGTCCATGATGCCGTCTGTGTTATGCGCTTGAGTCTCGAATGTAGAGCCCTCTCGACCTTGCGTGTTGGAAAGGTGAGAAAGGAAGACGTGAAGTTTGAAAGACAAGACCTCCCAGTCAAAACTCATGCGGCAAAGGAAAGGAATGGGACCTCGACCGATCTTAATCAAATCCCAATCCCCCCTGCCCTTCTTCCACCTTGGAGAAACCCTACCTCCTGCAACGCTTCCCCCTTCTCCTCACTTCCGGACAAGCTCGCCCAAACAGACGTTTCCAGCGTGGAGAACATGGGCCTAGCACGAACGCGGGGAAGAGCCCCATGGGGTAGCCCCAAGCTATCGAGAGGGTCCTCCTCTTGACCCCCAACTATCGAGTGTCGCGTTCCCCCACGATCTCCTTCCAACCCTCAACGCCATCTGGGAAATGCCACAGCTCCTGGGCAGTCGGGATCCTGCGAGACGCGTGTGGGACTTTCGTGGGGGTCAGATGTTGGGGTAATGTCGGGGATGTTGCGGTGCGCCCTCGGCACGCGGCACATTACGACTCAGATCTCCGCGGGGGAACCTCGACGTGCGTGTCGTCTTCAACCTATCATTCCAGCCTCCGGCGCTGCTTACGCTCGAAAGCATCATCATGGACATGGCCTAGATGATTCGAGTTCCTGGTAGTTGGGAAATCACGATCATTCCTCGCAAAGGAGGCAGCATCCTTCTTCTCCCTCGATTTTGGTGTTGACCCCCACCGCGCCGTGCCATCCACGAATCCATGAATCGCTGACCGCCCCCCAAGACTCCGATATTGAGTGGTTGGCCGCTTGTGTGTGTGCCGGCATCGTACGAGAATTACTTATTCGAACGGTTCATCCATATAAGTGCCGAATATGTCCGAACGAGCTGGTGCTGCTGGTGATTGGGTGTATTACCCAAGACATGCGCCGATAGGCGTGTCAATATGAGCTGTGCCTCTCGGCAGAACGGATGCAAAAAAGCTGTTCACTCAATACAATTTGGCCAACGTCGTTCGCCAGAATCGGCTGACTGAGAGACTCGCCCAGATGGAAATTGAATCGCATCGACTCGGGCCGAGCTATGCGGCGGCTGAAGGGAAGTTGGGTAGCCGGACCAACGTTAAGGACCAGTGGCGCGATGAAGCAGCAATGTCAACGTAGGAGCAACCCCGGAGTATTTCAGGCACACCGTCAGATATCATATATGGATGGGAGGTAGTACCACCACACCGTGGCTTTAACCCAACGTCTTTAAGTCTTCTCGCAGGAAATATGCGAGACATCGTTAGCAGATATGCAGGATTGGAGGCCGCACGTTGGGTCTCTTCCATCTAAGGTGCAGAATCGATATCCAGAATGGAAGCAAAATAAAAAAAAAAAATCCGAGAAGCAGATACCCAACATGGCGATACGAGATCGCTCGCGAACGTCAAAAATGAGGTCCATCCAGGATTCGAACCTGGGCCTACGGAAGAAACTGATGTTAATCAGAATCCGACGTCCTAACCAACTAGACTAATAGACCGGTTGTAGCCGAAGCTGAGGAAGTGGGTTGAGCTCCAGGCCCGACAAGCGAGCTCAACTCTCCTCAGTGTGGACCCGAACCATCTGCAATGCGGGTGCCTTCTAACATATCGCTGATGAATGGCTAGACTCCCAACCGCCTTGGGGTTCCCCCAAAAAGATGGGGTTGAGCACGAAAAGAATGCAACATGAGGCTGGAAGACATTGACGGCAATATCATCCAAGGGCAGGGCGATTTGGGCTGCATGCGAGTTGAGGGAAACACCTGGGCATTCGTCCACTGTGAGACGGTGCAGACCGCACGCATTTCACACCGCAGATAGCATAACCTAGCATGGCGTTTCCACAAGAGGAAAACACTGCAATCATACCGCAGTCGAAGTCTCCTTCATGTGGTTTCCATCGAGGAATTTCCGGAATGTTTCGGTCCCGACATCGTTCGGCCCATGCAGCGCATCGTCCGAGCCATGACAACACAGATTCCATCGCCGCGTGGTATCCAGGGGCCTTGCAAGACTGGCGCGAGCTGAATTGCTTGCACCGGTACCACAGTTTGGGAATTGCGTACGCTCAGATGAACCTTGACCATTGTTTCAAAACAGGTACGCGATAGATGAACGGGGTTTGTTTCGTCAGATGTCAAGATCGGACGTCGCCAAGGGGCCTGGCAGCGGCCTGTGGCAGACAAGCGACATGAGGATGTTGGCGGGAGGCGACAGGTTATGTTGCGGATAATTCAGACGATTTTGTCTGTTGCAGATGCATTCATAGAAAAAGCGAGCATTGTCGTCCCCCTTTAAGCCCCTTTTGTGCATTGAGGTTATCTTCACAGCCCGGTCCACCGGCTGTCTAGTCAGTTATGCTGACGGAGGTGATGACGACGGTGACGAAGGGGAGTCCGGGTGCTGGTTCCTTGAACAATCGGCCCAGGGGTCGGGAGACGGGGGCGGGGCTCCGGACATCGCTTCGCATCAAGTAGACAGCTGGGAAGAACCTCCGAGCTCTGTGGGCAGAGAAATTGCAGTGAGCCGTCCGCACTTTGGACCCTACTATTAGAGAGAATTCAGCTTTTACCACATGGATGCACCCACTCGGAAAGCAACGTCATCATGGGCATGTGGGGAGCCACGAGACGAGGTTGACGCTAGCGGCACGAATTAGAGGGAAGTTTTCCCTGAAGCCACGAGCCAGCGAGGATGCGTCGGGGTTTTCTCAATGAATAGCGCAGATTACAGGAGCTCGACTGTAAATCGAGCCGAGATGTAGAGCCCTTTGTGCATCCGCGAGAAACAACGCGATGGTGCGCTGCTGAATTCAAAAGCCGAGAAGGGAGCGGCTCGTTGCGCCTGCATGCATCCTGCAGGCCGCTGCAGTTGGCCGTTGGATAATGAGGTCGAGACATGTTACGAGGAAAAGCAAAAAAGCAGCACGAGCAGGTTGAATACGAAGAAGCTGAGCGTCTGCATGAAGCCTGTGGTTAGTGATTGTTGTCGTACACAAGCAACGGAGAAGTAGCGTGGAAACAACAGCAACGACCGATGCCCAAGCTGAACTGCTGAGATGAGTGAGCTGCGGTGCATGGAAAAGCACATGACTTTGCTGGCAGCACAGCGCACAGCAGAGCAGAGCTTCACTGCAAAGCAAGGTGGCACCACAGAGCATCCGAGTTGCGACGGCGCTGGGATGCGCCGTTGATCTTGGACCCACCGTAAAGACGTTGGAAGCCGCTGTGGTAGCTGTCTGAGTCTATCGTAACGTCTCATTCTTGTGCTCGGTGGCGTGCGACAGTCAAGAATTTTCTTCTTTCGACCCCCTCAAGCCCCTAGAACGTCCGCACGGAGGGTTTTCTTTCCTTCAGGTTGAAGAGTTTGCTCGCACAAGCACTGGGCAAAGGAAGAAGCAGCTCTGGTAAGCCCATTCTGACTGAAACCTTCCTCGACTGGCGCCCCCGATTTAGCCGAATGGCGGAGGCAGTGCGGCGAGCTGAATCGCTGGCCGTGGTGTGAGAGTCAAGCCAAGCTTCAGGGACACTGCGCTGGTCGGAGGCCCATACCGACCTCTTCGACGGCCTAGGCGGTTCAGCTTAGGACAACTCGGGCCCAACGATTTGTTGCGGCTGCCAGCGAAGATGCAGACACGACGGGACGCAGACGCAAGACGGGACCCGTGAGCGTGTGACGCTGGGTTTCACAACGTGGCAGCGAGCTATCGCTGCGACGTGGACGGAGTAGGCGAAGGGGGGCCTACAGCGTGTGAATGCGCCGATTCCGCAGACACTGGTGAGGTCTTGGTGGCACAGAAGGGGAGCCGCGACCGCCCTTGTTGCGACAGAGGCCTGTCGAAGAGCCTGTCGGAATAGGGGCCACGATGGCTCCAGGCCGTAGCGAACGACTCGCTCCGGGCGCGCGAAGTGGGAGCAGATGCGAGCTGGGGCCAGGTGTTGCCCTGAGGAAGTGTCAAGCCTTTTCAGGTTGAACATGGGACGTCCCACTGTGAGAAGGCTTCAAGGGGTTCACTGCTGGGAGCAGTGATGATCTCCGGCCTGATCTCCTTCGGTTCAGGCTCTCCACACCAGGCTGACGGCGGTGGAGCTGCTTGTCGGGTTTCATCCGAGGATTTGCATTTGCAGCCCCCAAATGGGATGGCAGCGACCGCCCTGAGATGATGGAAGTTCGGACGGGCGAGGATGAACACGAGAATGAGATGGGACCGAGACATCTGCCCAGGCCGTGGATCGTCGAAGGCTACCTTAGGTATCTATCCAGAGAGCTGCAGGCTTCCGGTGTTGCTGCTGCTGCGTTGTTGGTCGCGTGGTGCGCTGCAGGAGGATGCGTGAGAGACGGGCGCTAGAAGCCAAATTGCGCTGGCGACTGGGGACCCATTGAGAGCAAAGGACAATCGGCACTAGGGAAATGCTTCTCCGCGTGATCTGACACGGGGAATAGGAACGAAGATGATGACATTTCCCGGTCGATTTTGATTGTTTGATGGCCAGGAGTATCGGATAGGCGCACCTGCCAAAGACCTCGTGCTGGGTTCCTTCCTCGTTAGGGGCAGCACAGACCGTCGAACTACTGCTTGGGAAGGAGGAGGTCGCAGAGCGCTTTCCAGGTTGGGTCCTGCGCGATGAGAAATCTTTTTAGCAGGAGCGCACTGCAAAATGAGAGAGAGAGAGAGCACTCTGAGGCAAGACCGAGCCGGCCATCCAGGGCTTAGCGTCAGGTACCTTACAACCGTAGCTGTCCTGAGAGAAACCAATGCAGGAACAGCCTGGCAAGCGTCGAGTCTCATCTCAGGGCGGCCCCGGAAAAGCCAATCACCAACGGCGTCGGTGCGGGACACTGAGCCATTTCGACTCGGGGAAATTGTGCAATTCGCTCTTTTTATGAACAGCCCACTCACATCCCTCTGCATTGGGAATGGAGGCATTCGCGGTTGCTGCGCGGCACGACGATTCATCTCCAAGCTGGACGGACACGGCGTCGAATGCGGTGTCGAGTGACCACCCAGCAGATTATGCCATTTCACTCTGTGAATATTGAGAGTCTTAAGACTGCCAATAAGATTGCCACCGTTAGTGACCCTTAGTCCACCCACCACAATGGCTTTCTTTTCGCCCGAGACTGGAGTCCAGACAATGGAGAAATGGACCGTTTTGTGTCTCGGCCGACATGCAGAGTGGAGAGTCAAGCCCGCCAACACTGGGCAGGTTGCAAATCAGTCGGCGATTGCCCGATGGTTCTGCTCAGACCATATTCCATTCTGGAAGAAGAAAAGAAGGCACTATCATTGGATGTGCCCGTCAGCATTGTCGTCGTCGGCGGTTTGACATGATGCGCAGCCGTGGGGTTGGAGCGAGAGGAAGCGCGCAGAAAAAAGAAGACTTCTAAGAAAAGCGCTGTCACTGCCTCAGGACGGGCGAGCGAGGACCAGTCGCGACGCCCTGCCGATCCTTGGTTGCTGTCGCAATGGACGAGGCTGTTTGCAGCGCGCACAATGCCTCTTCATAATCCAATGGTGCAATGTCATAGTGCAGCCAGTAAGGCAGAGTTGCGCAAGGGTACGTGGTCCAAGTTGAGCGAACGCAACGCTGTGATTTTGCGCCTTAATTTCCCGTCATGATCCAGACCCCTGCAACTCGGGCGAGTCGTCAATACATTGGTTTTGTGGGCGTTCTCAGCCGCCATCAAGGTAGCGAATACTTTTGTTGAGATGCGCTTTGAGGTTTGATTCGTCTCTTGCAACTGCAGGCTCCCCGAAGCAGACGCGGGTACCTTGCAGTTACTTCCCAGTGCCCTGCCGGCCGAGTGCGCTCTCTCGTGCGCCATTGGCCTTTTGCAGCCGCAGCCCTGGTCCAACCAGCGACCGCAAACCTCTTTCTGTGTCACTGGGTCGTACCTACCGCCTCTTCTTGCCCACCCCGGGGAACTGGAAGCAGAGACGGAAAGAGTGAGAGAAAGATGCACAAGGTGGATGGCGCCAGGGACGAGGAAAGAATCTGACTGGTCGGCGCAAGGAGGAACCCAGCAAACTGTGTGAGTGTGAGGTGACCAGGTGGTGATTTCACAGTTCATTGAGGGCAAGAGCGAGCGACGGGGACCAGGAGGGTAGGGCCGAGCACCTCCACTTTCCTTCCACGGACCACAGCTAAGGTTGTGCCTTCCTCGTCGTGGTTGTGGGCGCCTTCCATTCTGCGTCTCCTCGGCCGCTCTTGGCTCTTGCTCCAGACGTCGCCTTCCTTGTTGGCGCCTGCATCGTCTGTCGGGTCTTGTCACTCATTTTCTCTCGTCTCTTTCCAGCCTGCCCTGTCCCCTCCCCACACCCAAAACCCACGTCCCGTCCACTTCCTCACCGTTGGCTCCCCTCCTCCGCGGACTCTCTTATTCAAACCACTCCCCCCCGAGCAAAAAACCCACAGACTTCGTTGGCAAAGTCTCTACTTCACCTTCGCTCCCATCACGCACAGTCGTTGAAACAAACACTCACTCCTCCGACCAAACC